AATGGAAAATCAGGACATTTTATGTTATTGGAAAAAAATTGCGCTATTCCAGAAGAAATAAAATAATATTTGGAGGCCGTTTTTGTGAGCATTTTCGGTTTGTGTATTACATTATCGCCTCTCTAGTAACTTAAGTAATACTTTAGTGAAGACAAAGTTGAGTAATGCTCGCAAAGAAGCGGTGGATTTTTTCAACAATACAACACGTATTGTAAGGCCCATGTGTGAAAAAGTATATAAATCTTGTTCCTGTAATACAGTAAATTACTTCTCTAACACATTTTGGTTGTTCAAATTGAGGTTCGCGGGATTTGATACGTCACTTCCCTAAACAATTTTCAACATGGTCTTATTTTTGGGTACTCTGTTAATTTGGAAAATTGCAACAAGAAACAAAGCAAAAGAAAATACACACATTGCAAAAATAGAAATTATGATTTGTTTTCCTGAATGAAATCGGTCTTTTAAACTAGTTCTTGCAATAATGTAACATGAAATAGTCCTGATTTTAGAAAATTGCAAATGCAAATGTCCAACTTTTCTGAAATGCCTGAGATTTGTCGTAGATTGTGATGCCTGGCGGTGTTAATGGGTCAAGTGGCTGTTAGTGATAAATGCCAAGAGCTGTAGTTTTCGAATTCAGCCGGAGAAAGTTTTCTCCTGGTTGAGTACACTTTGCCATGTACTTTCCATTGTTACTTTTTATATAAACATACTTTTTATAAACATAGCCACTATAAGTATTACGAAAAATGTAGTGCTGTTCTGGACCCTTATTAAAACTCGGCAGACGTGGAGTTATCTCTCATGCTAGAAGTAAATCCACACCTACCCATACGGTAACGGGGGTGTAAGATTCCCTTCCTCACTCCAAAGTACCTCCATAGCAAGGCACCGCCTCAGCCAAGGACATAAGACATTGAAGCCATTTTCGAGAAAAAATTTTGACAATGTCCTAAGGGCTTCATCTTACAAACTGTGGAAAATTAAAATATCCTTTCAAATACGAGGGGCAGTGACAATCGATCAGGAAAAGTTTATTTTTGGTAGAAAATCCAGTGAATGCTTTTAGTTGGGAATATGGTTTCATAGGAAGAAAGACATTTTAAGGAAACAATTTACGAATTGACTCATCCTGGTGCACGAACACATAATATTTGGTCTTACACTCACACTACTGCTTTCTAAATATGCGTTATCTTTAAGAGGTACACTGGTTTAGAACTTAATGGTAGGGAGTGAATTTTATCGTCCTCTAGTTTCATGGATTTAACACTTATCCAATGCTATGAAAATCTTCTTACTAATGATTAATCCTTGAACAATTTAGTCATAAACAGATGCACCTCCGGTTAAGAAATTGGAGAGACCAAGAGGAAAACGTGCACACGTAGGACAATAGTGAAAACATACATGAATGATTCAATTTTTTGGCAGTTAATCATCTGTTAATTCTAAATTAAAAACTGGATTTCGTTTTACCCAAATCAACTTAAAAACTCTGAAACATAAAAATCAACACGTACTGTAGTGCAAAATGTGAGGACCGCCCTTACGCTAGATGAAAACTACCAATATTTTATATGCCAAAATAATTTTACAGGATTCGTGATCTGCGGTCTAGCCAAAACTAGCCATAAGTGTGTGTTCTTCAAAAATAAATTAAAATTAGAATTGTCATGAGTTGTTTTTTTAGTAACATAATAAGTTGTTTGACTGCTCTGCCCTTAATAAGAATGGCCACTATTCTTTCCATAACTTTTAAGGGAACACACTTTTTACGACGTTACGGACCGCGCTAAATATGATTTTGATTATATGACGTGCAGGAGAGGTAATAAGTATACTTAAAGTTAAGAGAAAGAAAATGAAATGTGTTTCGGTACCAAGAACCTCTCACAAAAGTGTCCCAGTCGAACAATGACACATTAGAGCACTGTTAGACGCCTCTATCTTATGGCGATTGATTGATTGTTAGTGATTCGCGAGTGCGTCAACTACTATGCGTCATTCGTCCTGTAGTGTAGTGCATGTGTTTTTCTTCTTTCGGATAGACGAATGTGGTCGTCCCCGCTGTATGGAGTGGATCCGTCAGCTAGTTGGGTTTTTCCCGGTTCGGGATTTTCCCGAACCAGAGCCCCTCCACTACTGACCCCCCGGGCAGATCTAAACTCTGCGACTGCATCGCGGCTGTGTGATTAGTGTATGCGTGTTAGCGTAGTGTGCGTTTCGGCCGCGTGGCTGCTTTGATTGCTTCGGCATCGGCCTTGGTGTTGATAGGGAACGCCACGAAAACTAACCATCAGAGCAGCTGGCCACTAGCATATGTCACTTGACTCCAATTATCGATAAAGTATAAGTTAATGTGCCAAGTATTCTAAGGTGATATATATTTATCAATCAATTGCTCAACTAATCTTAAACAGCGCAATATAGTATCAAACTCTATCAAGTCTATTATTGCTAGTGGTGTTACATAATATTGTTATATTACAACTTAAATCCTCTAGATGTATCCTTCCTTGTCCAATAATACCCGAGACAAATCTATTTGTTTAATATATTTTTCCTGTAAAGCTGGATCGTTTTTACGGGTCACAAATCTACGGCTGATGCGGAAGGTGTGTTGTTGTGTGTGTGTGTGTGTGTGTGTGTGTGTGCAATCAGACAAGAAAAAAAGCGGACCTCATACCGCTGTATGAAGAAGGGTACTGTCACCGAACCAAGTGTTCAAGGGCCCTACGCGCGCTGACTTCCGGCATTCGGAGGCCGGGTTCGATCCCCGCGCCGGCCAATCCTGCCGGGGTTTTCGTGGTGTTCCCTCGGGCGGCCCAGGCAAAATGTGGGAATGGTTCGCGCCGAATGGCCACGACCGGGTGCTTACGCCTCCTGAGATGATTCTCCCAACTTGGAGTTCTGTGAATTGCGTCTCTGTGCGCGCATCACACGGTTGGTCTCGTTTCTTCGGGAGAAGAAGAGGGGTCGTCTTTAGGAGGGGAAACACCTATGTGTGGAACACACTAAGGGGGAACTTAAAAAAGAAACTTCGACTAGATTAGTTCCGGTTAAGGCACGGATGGGGGTGCCGGAGCGTGTGGCGCCCGCAGGCAGGCTTCGGAGGGATACACAGTCATGTCGAGGTGCGAAGTCCCTCAGCACGGAGGGGCTCAGTCTGGCCACTCGGCGGCTCAGCACTGACCACAGCTTAAGACATACGTAACATCGCTTTCGGAGTACAAATGGGGAACGACGGGGGAAAGAATAGGGTTAGTTAGAAGGGGAGAAGAATTAGATTGGATTCTTTAAACTTTTTTACCTGTTTGCTTTTTATGTTCTTAAAATGTCCTTAAATCGTGGAGTAATGCCTACTTATCTTGACTTTGATGAATATACTTTTTACTATCTAAGTCGACTATCTTACTGTAGCAAGTAAAATGCAATCACATCCCTCGTCTTAAAAGTCAGTTTCTTTAAATCCACATATATACAGATGGGCAATTTAAAATTGTTATGTCTGAACAGTGCTGCTAACATCAATAAATTAGAACGTACACAACATAGGAAAATAATCCGTTAAAACTATACTTACAGTAAAATTACCAAAATAATGAAAATCACTTGGTTACTAATTATGTTGGCCACCAACTACATTATAAAAATCGATTACTTGACCCTAATTACTATCATCCTAATTCCAACTTCTAGAGTATAATTTTGAAGATTTCTGATGGTGGGGTTTTGGCACATTAGATTCATTATTGTTTATTTTTTATGGTTTTAACATATCATAAATTAAAATTGATATTTGCCATCACCAAGCCGTGCAATGGCGAAAATAGACTTCCTCCTTCATTCAGTCGGTACACAGACAGATGGGCGTTACCAAATACGGTAGGTCTTTACTTCTCCATAACAAGGCAGTGGGAGCACCGAGCGGTAGGACAACACGAAAAGCTGCGGAAGACTGACCAAGATACATTTTTGCACAAGTTCTCTTGAGCTCATGAAACCCCTTTGTCCCTTATTTTACCAAACCACCAATCTGAATTTATGATTATTAGACAGCATGAAAGTTCCTGCAGCATATTAATGACAAACAAATACTCGTTCCCATGAAATAAACTACTTGCCCGATACACAAAGATAAAAACTGCGATTATCGATTGACAAAAACTAATCTTCCATAACTTTCGGCATCGTCATATTACTGTGAAGCTGCTGCTAAACTTTTCTAGCATTAATTTTTAGCAGTTACGTAAATCTATATTAACTTATGCGCCGCAGAAATTAAAAGAAAATTATGCAAGCCAATGGCCACACTAGAGGGTTACAAATCTAGAAACTCGTTAGAAGCAATATTTTCATACTGCACTTGGCGATTGAATTAGCATTATCAGGGCGTTATTGCTTACCACGACTAGCTGATGCCATGTCTGCTGCTGAAGCAAGACTCCAACGAAGTGGGCGCCGCGCATTAAATTATTTGCTATTGATCGATTCTGTTATGGAACAGCAACTTTTTTGGATCATTGTTGCTGCTAAAGGAACTGTTGTTGTTACATGAATTTACATACTAGTTTAATTATTTTGCTTAATTAGAAAAAAACTTGTGTGAAAATTTCAACACTAGAGGAACGAATCGCTGTTTTCACTTCATGAAGAACGTAACGAATTAAGAATGTCCGACTGTGCAGGGAGTCGCTGGGACTAGCCAGTTTTTGGTGAATTGCATTAACGACCATAGCCTTCGTCAGGCTGAGAAGACCCCATTTCTGATGAGAAACATTCGAATGGACTAGCTTTCGTAAGCCAGAAGTTAAATTTTGGGTCGAATTATGATAGCGAAAGGTGTATTGTACAACATAAAACCGATGCAAACCGACAAAGGTGTTTAGCACAATCTCTCGCCTCTCGAAATAGCAAACTCTCCGAGAACGCGCTTTCGTACGCTGCTCGTGAGTCGCCTACGGCAGGGCAAAAAATGGCGTTGAGCAGGAGCGATGAGGGGAGGGAGCGGGCGTGTCTCAGCTCGCGCGAGAAAGAGAGAAGAGACGCCACGACACAGAGGAGCCTTGGTGCGGCGACGGAGGCTGCCCACCGGACGGAAATTACCAAGGCGGGCGGCGGCTGGCGGCGGCGCGGCGGCGCGGCGGGGCGCGGGCGGCGGCGGCGACGGAAGGCGACAACGCGCTCGGCAACGCTCGAGCAGCGGCTTACGCGGCGGGGACGCGGCGCGCCGGTCCGGGCCCCCCCGGTCTGCCCCGCCGGCGCGACGCCACGCGACGCGACACGACGCGGCGCGGCGCCACCGCCAGTTAGTTGGCGCGAACGCGCGCTCCTGGCGCTCGGAGGGAGGCGGCGGCTCTCGAAGGCGGCGGAGGTGGAGGCGGCGCGGCGGCGCGGCCGGCGGCGGCGGTGAGGAGCCAGAGCGCGCGGCCCTTCAACAGCCCGGCCCCGGCGCCATGGGCAGCCAATGCTGCAAGTGCGCCTCGGCGCAGACCAACCACCGCTCCCCTTCCGGCTCCGTCATCGGGTGAGCACTCGGTCGTGCGGCGCGGGTGGGCGTGTGCCTTTGGGGTCGCGTGTCGGATTGCGCGTGGACTTGGACGGCGAGGTGGATGGTATCTTCGAAGGTTTGGCGGAAACTTTTACTTCGTCAAGTTGAGCGATTTTCACGTAAAAGTCTAGTTAGAAAGAGATGGTCTTCGGGTGCGCTTCGGAACTGTCACTCGGCGCGATTCTCTTGTGATATTTCTTGTCAGGAGGCGAGTTCTCGATTTACGGAGGGGGTAGCGCAACTTTTATTCCGGCGTCGCAGAAGATACGTAGATTTAGTGTGCACAGGGGTTTTTAACATAATGCTAATCGGTCAATCATGCTTTCGTGAAGACTTGCTATTTACCTATTACCTTTCTTCTTTTCCTTCAAAATTTATTATGTAAACAATAAAATCGAGAACAAAAATTGTCTAGAAAAAGATGAACGATTGTGGTTTTAAAGTTAGAATAAATTTGGAGATTTTTTCTTTTTTACACATTTTTGTTAGGTAAAAACTGGATCCGAATTTACAAAAAAACAAAAACCAAAATCTTCTAGTTGCAATCCAGAACTGACATGATGTGAGTGCACATTGTCTATCGTCGGCTCTTTATCGGTTCTTTCCTTCCTCAGAGGAGATACTGTTTAGTCCGCGTGTGCCAGGAAGTATAGTTCAACTTAAGTAAAACTTTCAAAAGTGTTTTGCCCCCAGAAAAGCAAAGTTTTGAATTACAATTTGTATAATTAAATTAGCTACAGTTTGTTTTTTATTCCATTTGTTCACCTTTAACCTTCATACTATGTGTATAGAAAAATTCAATTTTTTTTGTTTACGTATGAGTATATCTTCCCGCGATTTGAAGAAAGTACGTTCCTAGCAAACACTATGAAGATTTCCCCCATCTTGTCCCCCTTCGTGTGAGAATGGCGTAGGAGGCTCTTGACGTTGGCCATGTTTCCGCAGCCATTGACATTTCAAAGTGGACATGTTTTTTTAACGCACGTCATGCACGGGGATGTGTAAGCCGGAGCCGAACGTGACGGAGTTGGAGTATTTTATTGCTTCCGTTGGTGGCGATGTTTATTCTCAGCAAACATGGCCCCTCGGACAGATTCTTTTAATTTCGGAAAATAATTTATCTTGGGATATAGAAACTCATTCGATCGTTATCTCTGATTTAATGAATAATATTTAGCGTGCTTGATTCAGGGAAAATATGCAAGTATTGTTTTCACCAAAGGTATTAGCCATCAAAAAATGAATTTTTCAAATTTTCAGTAAACTTTCAACGTTCTCTGAGAGGATACAATCTTCGTCTGCCTGTCCCTGGTAGGTGGTAAGTGGTGTTGTCCGTATTTTTCAGCAACACTGTGGTAGTTGGGCATGTGCCCTCTCTCGCAGTCCCAAGTGACTAGCTCTAGACTAGAGAGGACGGGTGTCACAGGCGCTGAATTGTCTTTGCTGTAGGACACATTGGTGACACGGGAATCACTACATTCTTCATTTATTTGAGATACTTAATATAATTGTGCTAATAGCTATTATTAACTAAGATGAAATGACAATAACGAATCCTCATTCGATAAACATTTTTTACAGGTAAGAACATTGAATCGACAGAAATTCTTCGTGTAAGGGCGGGATTTTTCTACCAACATTGAAAACAATTTCATCATTTGTTATTATACAGCTCAATAGTGAACCTCAATATCATTAAACAAAATTTCTTAAAGGGGAATATTAAGAGTATGACGTCCTTTTATCAAAAAGAAAAAAAAATATTGTAATTACCTCGGATTCATTGTAGTTATTGACTAATTGTGTGTGGGAGGTGTCTGTTTTTTTCCTGAAAACAGTATTTGCTGACTTCCTGAACAATTTTTTTTATTTCTCTAACGATTTCTTTTATAAGCCAGATTTATTTGTTGTGTAATTAAAGAAAATATTCACGCTGGGATAATAGATCAATATATCTGAAGTTGTTGCAAGTTTAGAGCCCATCAACACCTAAATATTTTAGGAATGTGGTGGAAACACACTGTCTATCGGATGCCATTAGACATAATATTCTGCGCCATGAACCTGTGAAAATGTTAAATTACTGTCATAAATAAGTACTTATCTGAAGTTAATTTAAAACTTTATTACCTAAAAGAACGGTTTAATGTAGTCATCTGAAACTGATTTTTTCATTTGTGCCGAAACCTAAAATCACGATTATCCTATGAAGGGTAGGAGCAATTTTTTTATTCTTCCTAAATACTTCCAACGGACAAAAGCTTGCATTTGTTTTACAATAACAATAATGATAATAATAGCAATAATAATAATAATAATAATAATAATAATAATAATAATAATTATTATTATTATTATTATCATTATTATTACTTCAATATATGGAAATACAAAATATAAGCACAAAATAATTTATTTTTGAGTGTTTAAAATTTAACTATTGAATGGTTGGGTAATGAATATTATTTTACTTTAGTTGTGTCCACAACGGTTAATATACAACGAAACTCAATGCGCGCGCAGTATTTTTAATTCAATTGCTCTGTACAGCGTTTCGCAATGTTTCACATATTGTGTGTGCATGCATCCTCAGGCAGGCCTTAAATTTGCCAGCACGAGGATTATTAGAATTTTAAAACAGAACTAAAAACATGAGTGCCGGATATTAAAATAATTACGAATGTAATTTTAAATGAGTCTAGTGAATCAAATGACAAGGAGAACAATACAATAGAAAAACAAAATAATGAAAAAATGTTTATACTAAACACGAGAATCAAGCACAAGACAGAAACGTACACGTATATAAATTATTCATTAGAAAGAGTAAATAATAAAATAGACATATAAAGACAAAGTGTGAGAGCAGTTCAATTGTAACTTCGTATCACCAAAAGCTTGTCGCGGTAATCCAACATCTGGCTTGCGGGACTATATGAACGAGTAATGGAAAAGAGACGGGATATAGAGAGGGGGAAGAGGAAAAGAAATAGTAGAGAGGATAAAGAACTTGGTAGACAGGCAAATGGAAAACCAATTAAGGGGGAGGGGAAAGTCCTGTTCTTGGCTCGACAGCCCCATACGGGCTATGGCTGATAAGCAGTGGCCCAGCCTCTCGGCCATGGGGTAAGGGTTCGTGTGGTTCGCGCGAAGACATCGGAGGGGAAAGTCAATAGAAAATGAAATCTAAGTTCAAAAAACATTTTGAAACACTAAAGAAATAACACTCGCAAAATCAATATATTTTTAATAATAAATTATTATGTAGCGTAACCCCTCACACCCGCCGAATGTGTGTGTGTGTGGTTTCTGGAGCGGGAATGGGATTTTTCAATAATAATCATGACACTTAGGTAAACAAACATTTAATGCCTAAATGATGATGATGATGGGCGATTTATAAATTATCTATAATTATGACAAGTGCGACCTTTTTATAGTTAAATTTACTCATTAGTTTGGCTCGATATAATTGCAAATCAGTTAATAGGCCGTCATTAATATTGTACTGATGGCACCTTCTTTCCAGCTTTGCTCAAAGAAATGTTCATCCGCATTCTAGCGGGAGCAAAGCGAATGATTACCCTTTCGTTGTTGCCGTTGTCGGCGGGCATCACAGCTCGCACAGTGGTGGGGTTGTTGACCGGCGTCACGGGCGGGCCGCCCCCAGACAGCTGCGGAGTACCACCGCTGCACCTCAGCGCGGCCGTTTAGCGTTGACGCCCTCTCAGGCCGGACCCATGGATGACGTCGCCAACCTCCAGGCAGCTACGGCTTGCATCGGCGATGACGGATCGGAAGTCATCCGTCTTCCGTATCGGGTAATCGCGAACGACAATCGTAGGCGGGACAAATCAAACTATGGCACATGACCGCGTGGTACTAAGTCGGTGGCGTTCACGACCAGCGAGAACACTTTCCATTCCAGGAATTGTGTCTCCTTTCGCAAGAATATTCGAGTGAGCGTGAGAGCTCGACGAAGAATGTTCGAATAAGTGTTTTTCAGAGCTGTTCTCCCGAATCATGAAGTCTCGGTACCCCCCTCTCCTCCATTGAGAATCCTGCCGATACGCGCGATTGAATTTCGCGGACCACGGTGGGGCGGGGCTTCGACGAATGACGCGGGATCCCTTTTAACTGCTAAAATGTTCGCTGCTGTCGCGACGGATGATTGTGTCGTGGCCGGCGAAAAAAATCGGCATGACCTACTTCGGACCCACACGTGCGCCGCGGTTCGTTGGGGTCGTAAATCTGTCTCCCCCAAGTGGTGCGCAATTAGGGCGCCTTCCCACGCGCGACTGCGCGCGCTTCTTGAGCATGCAGAGCCCTTCCCGACGCAGCCACGGCCGCACCGCCGCCGCGTGGAAGGGGGTGGGGTCTGGAGGGGTCAGGTTTCGCCGGCCCTCCGGCGACGATGAACAAAGGGACCGGAGCAGGTAGAACGCTGCGTTCCTCGCGCAGTGGGAAGGCTCCCACTGACAAGCTGTGTTCTGCTAGCGGTGGCGCGTGGCCCCGTCCTCCGTTCGCGTAGGGCCCTTCCCACCGGCGCGGCCCGCGGACCGCTTCGGCAGGCAGCGCCTGCGTAGGCAGAAGCATTTGTTTGAATGGAGGCTTCGCACGTGCAGCGGGTGGCGGCTACTGCGGCAGCCGCGCCGAACTCCAGCTACGGGCGCCTTCCCACGGCGCGCTTCGTTCAAGGAGCAGAGCCCTTTCCGACGCAGCCACCGCCGGAGCCACGGCCGCACCGCCGCCCGCCGTGGAAGGGGGTGGGGTCTGGAGGGGTAGTTTCGCCGCCCCCGGCGACGACGAAAAAGGGACCGGAGTAGGTAGACGCTGCGCCGGGGCGCAGTGGGAAGCTCCCATATAAAGCTGTGTTCTGCTAGCGGTGGCGCGTGGCCTCCTCCGCTTTCGCGTAGCTGGAGTTCGGCGTCGGCTGCCGCAGCACCGCTACCCGCTGCGGCGCGCTGTGGGGAAGG